AATAATGATAATAAAAATAATAATAATAACAGTGAAGATAATAATAATAATAGTGATGATAATAATAATAGTAATAATAATACCCATGGTATTGATTTCTCCCACAGGAAATCTTGCAGAAGACCCTGGAGAGAACCCGTGAGGGCATCGTGGTCACTCAGGTGGCGGCCGGCCGTGAGTTCTCCGGGTGTCCCTTCTACAGTAAACCCGATGTCATACACTTCAAGGTAAACGTGACGGGTGGTTGGAGGGTGCCACTGATATGTCCAGCTTTTATTTCTTTCCTTCTTTCTTTCTTTCCCTCTGTTGTGTCTGTCTGATCAGTCAGTGGTTGGGTTGCTGGTATTCTGATGTCTGTCTCTTCCTTCCACCTGTGATTTATTTCTGTGTTCCATTTAACCATATACCGTCAAAAAATTTTAAGATAGGTGTTTTCTGCCTTGACTGACTCAATTTAGATAAATAAAGTATAATTCATCTCATCTCATCTAGTCTCGTTTCATCTCATCTCATCTCATCTCATCTCACCTCATCTCACTTTATTTCACATCATTTCATCTCTTCTTGTCTTGTCTCATCTCATCTCATTTTGTGCTATCTTATTTTGAATTGTCTTACCTAATCTAATCTTATTTTGTCTACCCTTATCTTATCTTAGTGGTTGGTTAGCGGGTGCTCTGGTGTGGTTTGCTTCTTCTTTCCTATCAAATATCGATCGTCCTTATCTCTCCTCCTTTTTTGTGATTGTTACTCTCTTTACCTCTAATTTTCAGCACTTATATGACCTTATTGTGTTGCAAGTACCGTAAAACACTTACTAAAACAAACATTTATCTTATCTTTTGCAGGATTTCGTGGTAGGAAAGACATACAAGAAGCGAGTGACCTTGACCAATGTCTCGTACACAGTGAACTACATCAAGTTCTTGGACATCACAGAGAGGCTCAAAGACTTCATCAAGATACAGTGAGGGATTCTTTTGTTTGTACATATTATTGCTCTTTGTACCTTTCTCTGCCTTTCTTTTTCTCTTTCTTTTTCTCTCTCACTCTTTCTATTTCTCTCTTGCTCACTCTGTCTCTCTTTGTCTCACTCTGTCTCTCTTTGTCTCTCTCTGTCTCTCTCTGTCTCTCTCTGTCTCTCTTTGTCTCTCTCTGTCTCTCTTTCTCTCTCTCTCTCTCTCTCTCTCTCTCTC